TTTTAAATTCTTGCTAAAAGGACACAGCTCAGATCATGGCCATTTTGGATGGAGTTTGTGCATATCCTTTTGTTTTACACCGCATAGCTCTAGAGCCTCAAACTCTTCAGGTTAAAATGTGCTTCTACCATCCCATATTGATTAAATTTCAGCCCTCTGGCTAGTGAAAGAGGTGCAGCTTGTGTCACACTGAGGTGATGCTCCTGGTTCACATCTCATGAGCTCTGCCAGAGTTGATCCATGTGAGGGGACTTCACCTGCAGTTGCAGTTGTGCTGCACACCGGCAGTCAGTGGTGGTGGCGTGGTGTGGATGGATGGCTGCAAGGGCCAGTGGCCATGAACTGCCTGCTGGGAGGTGTTTTCCACAAGTGACCAGTGTGTTTGAAGGTGTTTCCCAGAAGTGGCCACTCCCTCCTGGATAGGGAGCAGCTGCAAGGACAGGTCATTCATGGGGGTTTATGTGGAGCGCTGCAGCCTCTGCTCTCACATCCACGCTCCTGCTTCTCCATATAAGATTCTTGATTCATTTGGTTCTGTCAATATTCATATGTATTCCATTTCCACCCCCTCTCTGGGTCTAGCTGAAAGCAGCAGTAATTTAAATGTGCCTAATATTACAAGAACATTTACAGAATAATGTTCACATCACTACTGTTGATACTTAGATGCTGGTTTTTTTCATTGTATACTTTAACTCCATACTTTGCAGGGGAAGCATATCCATGCAAGTGGGATTGAGAAAGCCCTTCTAGTTTAAATGTGTAGAGACTGGGGAAAAAGTCCTGCAAGGGAGTTAGTTTAACTGCAGAACAACTGGTCATATCTTCCACTTGGATTCTCTTAACAGTGTATTTCTTAACACATAAGGATTTTTTTTTATTTTTTTTTTTTGGCTAAAAGAGGAAGTGTGATGAGCAGATTCTAATCAGATACAATATGAGAAATCTCAATTAGATGCATTTTCCGTGTAATAAAACCAATAAAAAACTTAAGACGCCAGCACCATTATCATGAACAATGAGTCAATTTCTCCTGCAGTATTTTAAGTGTGTAGCTGTAACTTCAGAATAATTTTCTCCACCAACAAGCATATATCCAGGGCTGTTTGGGATTACTTTGATTATCACACTGTAAGATCAATTCTAAATGTAGGCACTGAAGCCTGAATAATTTATTTTCTAGCCCATTAGAACAATTTGGAGGATCTAATTCCATAGGCAGCTTTTTTTGCCAGGAGAACAAGTGCACGTGTCTTTGCATCTCTTGGGGAAGAAGAGACAGATAATCTCTGCTTTTAGAGTAAGACACTTGCTGTACTGCTTGACTCTGCTCTATAAATGCCTGTGAGCAATTTGTCTTGAGCAGAATATTCTGCTACTTCCACAGTCTGTTGCAAAGCCCAGGGATTGCAAAGAACCCACTGCTTGTGTCCTTTCCTCACAGTTTTGCAGCTCAGGCACAGATGCACCAAACAGCCCATTCAAGATTTACACTGAGGTCTTTCCTGAAGCAAACACCTGACTCAAATAACCTGTGTCTTTGGGCTGTGACATTATTCCTTTTGGTGTCCCACTGTTTTGACCTTAGAATAAAAGACTGCAAAACAACATGCAACATTTACTGGGAAAAAGAAAAAAAGAGAACTGCATTTTGTTTCAGGCTTTACCATGAGCTGCCTTGCTTGCAAGAGAGTGGATTATCATGAAAAATTCGGCAAATAATGTGTTAAACATTTCATAAGGGAATTTGAAAAAAAATCCTATTGTCAGTAGCCTGGCATCTTTGAAGTGGACTCTTTTTTTTTTTAAATGTAAAGTCAACTCTGCACTCACCAAATGGAGTTAAAACAGACTGTCATTTGGCTGCCAATAGATCAGGTTCAAGCTTCTCTCTAATCACTTGGATTTCTCTTTTAACCATGACAGCATCACTGTTTGTGCAGAAGCCCCCAAATTGTCAAAAGTAGCCCTGTTAATGGTTTTGATTTTGTTTCATTTCATCAGCAAGCCCAGAAAATTGTCAAAAACTTGTAATTTCCTCACTATGCTTCTGACAGTCTTTGACACAAAAAAAAGGGCTGGGGGTTGGGGATGGGGGTAAAGAGAGAAAAAGTGGAGGAGAGGGAACATCATAAATAACTATTTAAAATTAACCATGCCTTAGATACCAAGAGGAGGAAGTAAAAACAGAAAAACAGCATAGAACCAACTACAGTTTTGTTCTCTTGGCTCTGATCCAGGGTAAGTAAATGTAATGTCTCTAATCCCTGGATCTCAGACTGGGAATTACATTGCAGTTCAGTTCAGGATGGAGGGCAGAAAGGATGAAGACCACGCTTTTTGAATGTTCTGGAATAGAAAATATTTGGCTATTGTTGGAAAGGCTCCTCTGGCTGTCTTGGTGGGTCTGGGTTCTTTAAACATTTCCTTAACCAGGTGCTTGAGTGTTAAAAGGCCACTGGATGGAGACTTGCAGGTGTGCTTTGCTCCTTGGGGAAAAAGGGGGCTTTAAAGAGGAGTTTAGTCTAGAGCTAAGGACAGCCTCTGTTTCCTGGGTGTGCCTGGTGTGACAGCTTAGTAAATTTATTTGGGGACCATGAGTAAATATTCTGGTGTGGGAAAAGGAACAGAGCTGAACTAAGATGGAGCTGTCTTCAGTAATGTGTGCTGACATTATGAAATTCAGTTTGAGCCACGTGATTTAATGTTCAGAGGATTCCTTTGTGCATTTCAAGTTTGGTCAATCAACCTAAGGAAGTGCTGTGCATTATCTCTTCAAAAATAGGAATATAATGAGCTGCTGGAGAGCACAGTATCTCTGATTCAAGGGCAGTAGTGAAATACTCCTGCTGAACAACTGACTTGAAATACTCATCCCTGATCTAAATGGCTAAAGCCCTAGTCATGGCATTTTGCATGAACTGTGTCCTGATTTTCTGACGTTTCGTGCCACTGGTGAATTTCCAGTTTTTGCAAACAAGAATGGCTTTGGAGTCAGAAGATGCTGAATTCAAACATTCAGGCAACAATGTCTCAAGCATTAAGCATTGTGCATCATAAAGAATTTAGTGGATGATGGGGGAGCAGGCAAAGCATCCTCAGTGAGACCCACCTCCTGTAATACAAGTGGTGGTTGTAGGTGTTGGTACCACACAAAGCAGTGTAGCAGCATGGGGAGCTTGAAAGGTGATGAAATAAGCTGCCTCTTATTGGTGCTGTTGAGTTGCTTCAGAACAAAGAACTGGAGGTAAGAGCTAAATGTATTGCAAGGTCATCATAATGCTGCTCTTGGGCATCCGCCGTCATTAGGCTTAATTGGGCTGTTTGAGCAGCCTTCCTGTGCCTGCAGCTCTGAGGCTGATCTTGAGGCAAACATCCACCAAGCTGAAGAGGCAGAAGGGCACTTCTGCTTTTCATCCCATTCCTTGGCCAGTTTAGTGCTATTCCTGACTGTATTTCAGCACTCTGACCAGTTTGGTTTTAGCTTAGGTGTTTGTGACATCTCCTTTCAATTCTGTTCTGTTCAGTAGACCTTCAGAGTTTTATTTCTTCTGTAGGGAATTTTTTCCTATATGATTGCACTTTTTTTCCTTGAGCCATGATGATAGCTTTTCTTTATATCCCTTCCCTTAGCCTAAATGGTCTTCTGTGGGTTACCTTCTCTAAGTATTCTTCCCTCTCCTCTCCCTTGGTTATTCTTTAGTCCTTTTAATGATGTTAATGATCATGCTCTGTAATTGGGAATAGATGGGAGATATTTCCAGTGTATATGGTCAGGGCATGGACTGTCCCTCCAAGGCACTCGTAAGAGGGTACTTGGGAAAGGTTGAATTTCAAAAAGGTTGATGTGGAATGCCTGGAATATGCAAAGACCCCTAAATGAGGCGATTTGAGTCCCTGTGTTTTGGAGTTTGCTTTCTCTCAGTGGAGACGCACAGGTTGGTGCAGCTGAGATATGCTGTAGTGAGGTACAGTTTGATTCCTTTCCTCTGAATGAAACAGACTGGTTTGCAGTTGGGGTGAGGAATGATGCCCTAAAACACAGCTGCCTTTATTGTCCATTATTTGGGGAGGAATTCAGTAGCATTAAGAGACAGCCTTAGTAATTAGTGTAAGAAATTGCTTTGGCTTTTGTGTTTCTCCTGTGTTTCATTTCTGAGGTTTAGCTCTGCCCTAGGATTAGCTCTATCTTTTTCCTTCCCTGGTTCATAAGCTGCCTTATGTTCATCCTCTTTATGCAGGTATTTAGTGGATATGCTCCTGCATATGTCTGGCTTACTACTCTATGAACACAATTTCTTTCCAAGCCTTTAATTGATTTGGATAATAAAGCACAATTATAAACTCAATAAAAATTGGTTATTTTAAAGGGAGAGCAGGAAAGAAAGAAACCTAAGTGATGCTGTGCTATGTGACTAGATAATAATGCAAAATCCCATTTGCCTTACTCTCTAAATGCTCTCTTGCTTCCAGGAGAGGCTTGACCTTAGACAGGAACTAACTAAGAAGTATGAGGTGTCCTGCCAGGGGGATGCTCTGGCAAGGTTTGTTTATGGTGTGTGTCAAGGATGAGAGACAGTGTATTGGGATGGGAAGAATGGGGAATTGAAAATGCTTCAGCCATTCTGGGCAGTTCTTTAAGGTACCTAAATAGAACAGGGATTTTTTTTTTCAATCCCTTCAAGAGCTGACCCTTTGGGAATTTATCCTTTACTCAGTGTCTGCTTTTGACTAGAGAGCAAAAGACTTGATACCTGAGGTGTGTCTTGGATTTTGGAAATCTCTGACTTTTTGAGTGTTGAATCTTGCTGATGACTTCTCTATTTTTTTTTATTTTTTTTTTCTCTCTCTCCTTTGTTTTTCCTACTGAAAGTGTCACAGGGAGAGATAATTTTTAGGTGTGACTGCTGGTTTGTTCCACTGCCATATTGGCATGGTTTCATATCTGGGGTTGCTTGGATACAATAACTGAGTTTCTTTGTTTCTCTTTGTTTTCCCAGTTGGGAGGCTGTGGAATCCTTGGTGTAGGCATCTGGCTGGCTGTTACCCAAGGGAACTTTGCCACCCTCTCCTCTTCTTTCCCATCCCTGTCAGCTGCCAACCTACTGATCGTCACAGGGACGTTTGTCATGATCATTGGCTTCGTGGGCTGCATAGGTGCCATCAAAGAAAACAAGTGCCTCCTGCTGAGTGTGAGTATTGAGCTGCTGCAGTGTTTGCTGTCTTGTGATGCTGGTGCTATTGCAATGCATGCTGCAGTGACCTGTATCTCAACAGAAGTTGCCCACTTGACACATGGGACATGAGTCGTGTGTGAAACAGCTTTGATAATCGCTCCAAGGAGCTTCCAGGTCATTCCTGACCATGCTGTCCACGGAGGATGAGACCTGCAGGAAGGGAATTAGTAGTGGTGTAGGCTTCCTTGAACTCTACAGAGAAGAGGAATAGTTTTGTGAAGACATCTTTTGTAGTGTATCTTTAAATTATTTTTCACTCAGCTTGGACAGCAATCCACTCCAAATGTTTGCCCTGACAGGACTGATTATCTGAAATCTTGGTCAGAAACAACAATGCAGGCAGAAAATAGGTTGATTCTGAAGTGGTTGATTCTGGTTTAAATTGAAAATTAGGGCCTTCAGGTTTGACAATGCTAGTTTTTCCAGCCATTAACTCTCCAAAAGCTGAGATATCAGGAAGCAAGGGTGCCAGCACAAAGAGACTGCTGTGAAATCAAAGATTAATAAGTTGCCAGCTGTCCATGATTTCACAGAAGCTTGAACAACATCCCTGGTGTATTTTATCATAGTGCAGTTTGATGCCACTCAGAGGTGAAATTTAGGAGCAGTGAATACCTGCTGTAGTTGGTGTCAGTGTGTATTTTGCATTCTGTTCAGCTGAGGATCAGGAAGTAAAGTGAACTTGCTGCTCAAGTCTAGGACTTCACCATGGGGTTTGGCAAACCTCAGAGTGAAGAGGACCTGTGGTTCAGCTGGTCATCTGGTGATGCCTCTGTAAAAAAGCTGTTTCTTACTGTGCTTCACATACTAATTTTTCTTCCCTGGGAGCTACAGAATGAGTTAAAGCACACAAGCCCCCAAATCTCTTAAGTGACTGAGATTCCAGCCTCAATAGAGGACTCTTTCCAGGTCCTTGCATTAATCAGTTGTTTCTGCTGATTTTTAGGCAGTCAGAACTAGTCAGTCTATGCTAGTAAAGGCTATGTATGTAGCTTGAAACTAAAATGAACAATATAAATGGAAATTAAGGCAGTTATGTGAGTGAAAATCTAAACTGGGAAGGCTGAAGTCAGAATCTGAAGCTGAAAGTCCTTGACATTTTTAACAGTCCTATAAATACACACTTTGTGGAGGAAGTGTGTGCCCAGACAGTTGTAATGGATTACAGCTTCAATGCCAATACAGCAGGAGCCCACAGGGTGCAAAGTCTAATGGTATAGTTTATATGTGCAAAATTAATCACCTACTTTGTACTTTCCTGAAGGCCTAGCCCAGGTGACAGCTGTGAGCAGTGCCTGCTTGTGTGTCAGGATCAGGTCAGGATCTGGCAGTCATTCCTCAGTATTGGAAGTGTTTAAGGCTTTTATCTCTTGTGGTTCTTTGTCCCTCATCTGTCCTTTTGGCAAGGGCAGACTCCCTTGTTCAGCCATCATTGCCCAGGTAGGGGTAATGCACTCAGCCACCCCCAGCTGGGCATCCATGGGAGACAGAAATGCTTGCAGATGCCGCTCCTCCTGACACACTGCACGCAGTGTCCCTCACTGCATGACATAAGGGCTGTACTTGATGGATCGAGCTAAGTAATGCAAAGGAATCCTAATTCATTTAGGAATTCTCTGCACAGGAGAATGGGGAAGCTTGATCTGATTTGGTACCCACATTTCACTCTGTCTGCCTGACCTAACCTTTCTGTACTGTAGCTATGTAGTGTGGCCTCTATTTTATTCAATTTTCTTTAAAATTGAGTTATGTTAGAGCTGATTATAGCTACTTTAATTCTGAATATGCTCAACTGTAGAGGGTTGAAATACAGTTTCATTAGTCCACATTGAATTCAGTTTTTATTTGGTTTAGAGTAACTTTTCATATTGCATTGCATTGGTACTTTCTCACTGTCAGTAAATACCAGTGAGATTTTTGAGCTCTTCTGAGTTATTTTTGTTGTGCCTGTGTCTTTGGAAGAGAAATGGATAGTGGTAGCAGCTCCTGTTTCTGGGAGCAAAGCCTTATCATGCAGGTTTGTCCTTGGTCTTTCTTTCCCCAGACTGCTGTTCTATTTGACCTGTGTTTGAAATAATGTTTTCAAGTTTAAGGCTGGACCATTTGGTTTTGGCCCACTCCTATTTTTATAGGTAAATACAGATAGCAAAACAAATGCTTGAATTAAAGAAATTGCTGAATATCAAACCAGGGGTGCTCTTAGGGTGTGTGGTTGCTACATCCCTTCATCCTTTTCTTATCCCACCGGTGTTCTGAACAAATGTGTTCTGCCACAATGAAAATTATCTCTTTCCAGAATATCTCTGGGTTTTTTAAACATCCCTGAAAATGCCTTGTCTGCTTTTTTAAGAGGATTGTTTTGTTGCAGCTGGCTTGCAATAGGATTTACCATCTAAATTGTAAGGGGAAAGCTCCCAAGTGTTCCCGGCCTTGTGTGTCTGTGACACACACACAGTGTTTAACAATTGCTCCCAGATCAAATCCTTACACTCCTCTCAACATCTCCCTGGCCTCCACTTAACATTTGGCCTTGGTCCTGATAGTAGCTAGGGTTGCTTTTGGAGCTGAATTTATGTCTCCAGAAGGCATTGCCACAAATATGGCAGCCACTCATGGAGTAAGTTGTCTAGCTCATGTGTGATGTAGCTGCCATATCCTCCTGTGAATCATTTGCTTTAGATAACTTTTTGTAATGTTTTATTTCATTTGGAAATAGGAGCTTTGAAAGTAGAAATGGAGAAACTGAAGTTTGTTTGCAAACAGGTGCTGATGAGGGGAAGATGGAGGCTATTTGGTTGTGTTGCATGCACTAGTCCCTGGATAATGCATTTGGGTAGTTCACCCTCACTTCCTGGTATTTGTTTAGGCCCAGAACTAGAATCCCAGAATGGTTTGGTTGGAAAGGACCTTAAATATCATCTAATTCCAAGTCTCCTGGCATAAGCAGGGACACCTTTCACTAGACCAGGTTTACTCAGAGCACTAAACAAACCTAGGGAACTGGGATAGACAGTAGTTAGAAAAGGTCTGCAGGCAGTTGTAACAGATTTGTGGTGAGCTTAAAAGCATGGAAAAGGTTATTAATGGCAATGCAAAGAAAAGGAAAGCAAGAAGTAAAAACTAGAATGTTGTATATGTATACCTTGTGTGTTTCAGCAGTAAAAAAAAAAAAAAAAAAAAAAAAGAGAAACTGGAATAAACCAAGCAGGGGGAATACCTAGGGATGTTATTATCATGGTGGGTTGCCAGATACTTATGTTACATCCTACATATGTGAGATCAGACATCGCTCCATTGAGCAAAACATTACTGTATCTCTGAGTGAGCAGCAGTTTTCACTGACCTCCCCTTTTCTTTGGCTCCACACAGTGTGACAGAAAGCCTGGAATGTTAAGTATGACCATAGACACTACTAAAGATGATGTGAATGCTCTGCCTGTATTCCTGTTGCACCCCAGTCTGTAAATTACATCCTTAAGATCTCCTTGAAGAGACTTGTGGCATTTTAAGCCCACAGACTACATGGTCATGCCTGGTTTAACCAAGAGCAATTTGGACCTCAGCTCACTCACATCTCCCATAGTGCACCTCATCCTCATGTGGGGTTGTTGGGAGTCTAATCTGCCAGGACTGGAAAGACAAATTTCCCGTACAACAGGAGCACTTCTTGCTCTGCTTCCTAAAAACAGAAGAAAGAGGAAAGGAAGCCTGTGGCAGTTACTTAGAGGGGCGTGCTGCTGTTATTGGGGTGGGCAGGAAGGAAGGAAGGAGGCATTTGGAGGAAGACATTGGAGATTCTGCAGGAGTCATGGAGCACTGTGGGGATCCTGAAATGAACTGGGGGAAAGCAGGACTAGCTCAGCCCACCTGAACTGGAGGAGCAGAAGTTTATGTGATGGTAGACAGTATATTTGTGGAAGGTCTTGCCTTAGGAATAGTGCTACTGTTTGATGATGTGACAAGGGATGAGATTTCCCAAGGAGTTTGTGGAAGTGAATGAAAAGTGAGCAGTATCAGAGAGACATTTCAGCCCATTTACATTTCATACACTAAGATGCAGAGCAGATGAGACTCTGATCTTTGTGTTCTGCACATATGACATTTGTATTGGGTTGTAAGAGCACACCTGTAAGCTCTTTGGTATTAGGCTGCTGTGGTGTTAGGTGTGAATGCTAGTAATTACTTACCTCTGGCATTTGGTAATGACTTTTGAAAGAAGGGAGAGCAGACCAAGTGTTTTGGGAAGTAGAGGACAAATGGGGAAAGGAGATCGAAAGCAGAAGTTCCATTTGTAAATGAGATTTTAGCTGTATGCAGTAGTCAGGAGGATCCACATTAAGTCTATGAACTGCGAGTTTAGATAGTCTAAAGCTCCACAGATGTACTGACTTGAAAGGAATTACCTGGTGTCCACTACAGATATTCTTTACTCAGTAGCAGTGTAAAGTCAGGAAAATGTAAAGTCAGTCCTTAATCTCTTAAGAAACAGGCCCATTCCTATTTTTCTGCATTCAGAGGAATGGAATAACATGAAAATCTGAAAGTCTAAAGAAAAAAATAAAAGGAAATCTCAATCATTCTATGCATGCAAAATATACTGCAAAAATATATAGATGGGGTGAATTTTACAGCTGTCATTCTAAGATGTCAGTGAACAAAGAAAGAAGATAAACTTTTCCATTATTAGATTTCCCTAGGGAAATCAAAGCAACAGGCATTCTTGAGATAAGTATGCAACCTGGTATATATAATCTTACATCTGAATATAGATGCAAATTGATGAATGAAATAGGCAAACAGTGCTTTCCTGCTTCAGTAAGACTTGTTTAACATTTCTGCAAGTAGTCTTGCTGAAGACTGTATGACTGAGGTCTCTCTGCTACAAGCTCAGCTGTAGTTAGAAAACAGAAGCTTTATTCTGATGGGTTGGGTCAGTGTCCTGAACCAGTGACAGG